CACACACACACACACACACACACAATCTTCTGGAACCCTGGTCTATCATGGCAAAGCCTGCTTCCTGACTCCCCCTTCTCTCTCTCTCTCTCTCACACACACACACACACACTCTCTCTTCAAGATCCCTGGTCTATCATGGCAAAGCCTGCTTCCTGACTCCCCCTTCTCTCTCTCTCTCTCTCACACACACACACACACACTCTCTCTTCTAGATCCCTGGTCTATCATGGCTAAGCCTGCCTCCTGACTCCCTCTTGTCACCACGTGCACACACACACACACACACACACACTGCATCTTTGTAGAAGATCTTCCCAACTCCAGAGGGCCCGGCCCTGTTAAGCCTTGCAGCAGAACCTCAGCCTTGCACCCTCTCTGTGTCCAAATCAGACGTTCTGGTTCAGCCACTATACTCCCAGCTGGCTGTGCGGCGGGGCAGCACCTGGTGGGGCCTGGGAGATGGAAGAGAGGGCAGGTCTGGGCGGGGCACACTCGCCACGGTCTGACCTGCCTCTCCCGCTGGTGCCAGGTTGTGTCCAGCGGTTCAAGTGCTGCCAGGTGAACATTGAGGAAGGGCTAGGCAAGTCCTGGTGGATCCTACGGAAAACCTGCTTCCTCATCGTGGAGCACAATTGGTTTGAGACCTTCATCATCTTCATGATCCTGCTCAGCAGTGGCGCCCTGGTGAGGCCCAGGGGAGAGTACCAGGAGGGATTGGCTGGGAAAGGGATTACAAAAACTCGTGGGGAAAGACTGGATGGAGCCCAAGTTCAGTTTCCCTGAAAACACAGGTTGGCTGTGGGCCCTTGGATAAAGGTCTATTAAAGAGCTTTGAGCTAAGGTTCTGAGTCTTTGGGATTAGACCTCTCATTTGGCCACTTCCTGAGCTTCTTTAGGCTCAGCAGGATCCCTCTCAAGCCTAAGACCCCTTGTCATCAGAATGAGCACACGCATTACCAAGAGTGTCGCCACCACCTGGCTTGACCCAGCCTAAGCAACTCTCTAAACTTGAACTTCCTCCGCTCACGGAGCGCCCCAAACTCTCTTCTGTTGGGTCATATCACCCCACCCACTCTCCCTGCACACACTACTGGATCTGGAGACCCATAGCGTAGGGAATCTTCAGAAATTCAAAATGCCAGGCCTCTGGTCCGAAGGGTACTTTTATCGCCACGAAACACACAGGTTCCCCACCCTAGCAAGGAGCATTATCTTGGCGCTTGCTCGCCGTTTGGGCTGGGTTGTACCTGAGGCGCCCTGGCCCGCGTCTGGTGGGAGGGCGCTCTGTGCTAGTTGAGTAGACTTGAGGGCAGCCAGAACTCGCACTGCAGTCTCCTCGTTTAATTACGGGGAACGTGAAGGGGGCCAACGTCCAGAGCAGCGGTTCTCCACCAGTGGATTGCGACCCCTTTGGAGGTCGAATGACCCTTTCACCAGGGTCGCCCGATTCATAACAGTAGCAGAATTACAGTTACAACGTAGAAACGAAAATAATGTTATGGCTGGGCGGTCACCACCACATGAGGAGGTGTATGAAAGGGCCGCGGCCTGCGGAAGGTGGAGAACCGCTGTGCTAAAGCGTCTGGATAGAAAGAAGGAACAGTCGTGTCACTGGATTCAGAGCTTAACAGAAACCAGAATTGGTGTTGAGGGTCCCAGGGGCGCTCGAGAGGCTGCTTTTCCCGTGGGAGGTGGGAGGAGAGGCCTGCGGAAAGCAGCTGGAATAAAACCGGGTAGTAAGGAGAGCCAAGGACACAGCGGATGGCTTTCCCTGCTGAGGGCCGTGGGAACTCAGGGAAAGGTTTACGCAGGAAGGTGTCAGGATTAAAGTAGGACATGCAAGAGGTAGTTTGGTAGCCCGTGAGCCAAGACCAAGCCACACTGCCCTGCCTGCCCGGTCTTACCTGCAGCAGCAAGTGTCCGCGCTGCATTCACAGCGGGGCTGTGGAGACGCCCCAGGAGAGAGCCTGGTCTCCGCCCACCAGACAAGAGAAGATCAGCCTGAGGCAAGTGATGGTGGGATATTGTTGCCGAAACGGTCCTTCTGATCTAATACACAAATCCCCAAACCACAGAGAACGTGCCTATCCTTTGAGCCGGCTCTTTCTCAGCTCTACGAAGAAGAATCAAACCAAAGCTTTGAACTTTCTTGACGGTTCACCGAGGACCATTTTTGTTACACTACATAGGTGGGAAGTGCTTGGCTCAATGCACGAGGACCCTGCACAATAGTCAATTTGGGTTTAAGAAGACCTAAATGAAGGCCCGTTAACCCATCCAAGAAAAGACCGGAATAAAATGGTGAGAGGTCAGAGGGAAGGCATCAGAGCCTCCAGTGACCTGAAGGTCAGTCTTGAACATCTCACATATCTTGGCTTATAGAATGGATTTTTAAGAAACAGAGTTGGGAAACGATGTGGAAGCTGCTGCTTTTTATTATTATTATTATTGAGCAGAGAGTATTTTAGTGCTAGGACCCTGAAAAGGATTATAGAGCCCCTGACCTCTGCCCTCACTGCCTAGTGAGGAAACGAGTGTCCGATGTTCTTGTGCCTCCATTCTGGAAGGTGAGACCTTAGGCAGCCGAATTCAGTTCTTCCTTCTGGAACTGTGCAGAGCAGGCACTTCCTCTCTCTCGGCAGGCTGCTTTCTTTTACCTCCACCTGGGGGCCGAAGGGCACATCTGAGCACAGTGCCCTTCAGTGTGCCACCCTGCACCTGGGAATGTCCATCCCTCCCTGTCGGGAACTGCCTCACTCAGGAACTCCAGAGAAAGAAAGCAGAGTGCTAAACACTTCCTCACCTGACCACCTCCTGCCCCTGTGAGCCCAAATGTCTGCAGTCAGGGTCTGAGAGGAAGACAGATTTGTGTTGTATGAAGAACATTTAGAGTGTTTGTGAGAAGAAATTATATGTTGTTCTTGGAAATGTAAATTGATGCAGCCACTTTGGGAAAGTTTGGCTCTTCCCCAAACGGTTAAGCATGGCATTGCTATATGATCCAACAATTCCTACTCCTGGGTGTATGCTCATGAGAAATGAAAACATGGACACAGACGTGTGTACAAATGTTCAAAGCAACATTATTCACAAGGGCAGAGATATCACCACCTGATAACAGCTTAACAAAATAGGGTGCAGTACAAGGGGACTTCAAAAGTGCATGGGAAAATGGAATTAAAATCTAATGAATTTTTCCACAAACTCTTGGAACACCCCTTGATTACCCATGCAGTGGCTGCCCAGCCATCAAAAGACATGAAGTGTGGATGCCTGCTGCAACAGGGATGAACTTTGGAAACATCTTGCTGAGTGAAAGAAGGCAGTCACAAAGGACGGAGATATTAAGCCAAGTTGGCTAGAAACACACTCATCTGTGTATAAGAAAGACCTTGATATCCAGAGTTTTATATATCAAGACAGCATCCCAGCCCAGTCTAACTCAAGTCTATAAGCCCAGTACTAGTCCATAAGTCCCTCTCCTGCTTCATACAGCCACAGGCCATGATGCAGCATGCAGGAAGATCACAGGCCAGTGGGTGCAGAGTCCCAAGAATCAAAGTTGGTGGGAACCTGGCAGGGCACCGGCAGCCCTCAGGGTCCGTGGCAGAGTGCCAGCAAACAGGAAGGCAAAGGGGCAGAGGGAGGAGCCCTCCTCCTAAGGCCACTCCCCCGAGGAGGCATGATCAGGCTGTGACCTGATTAGCAGGTTGGATTCCACCCCTACACTTGCATATATCTTCAAATTGACATTTAGTCATCTGACTACCACAACTAGCTATTGTATGATTCCATTTATAAGAAATATCCAAATAAAAGAACCCTGGTGGCGTAGTGGCTTCCAAGTTGGGCCACTGGCCACAAGGAATATCCATGTAGGCAGATCTCTAGAGACCAAACAGAGTCATGCTTGTCTGAGGCTAGGAGAGATGGGGCTGGGGGGACTGGGGAGTGACAGCTATTCTATTTGGGGGTAGGGGAAAATGTTTTTAAATATACAGTAAGTATATTAAATATTTGCTGCAATATCTGAATATATTAAAAGCCACTGACTTGAACTGGGTGAATTATATGATAAATGCCACAGATCTCAGGAAGACTGTTTATAAAAAGATATGTAACGGGGGAGCGCAGGGAAAGAGATGGGCAGCTGGTGCTAGGCCAGCGCCACATAGGAGGCGCTGCCTGAGAAAGTTCAGTGTGACTTGCTTGGGTCTCGGCGCTACAGGCCGCTGCTGCTTCTCTTTCAGGCCTTCGAGGACATCTACATTGAGCAGAGAAAGACCATCCGTACCGTCCTGGAATACGCTGACAAGGTCTTCACCTACATCTTCATCCTGGAGATGTTGCTGAAATGGACAGCCTATGGCTTCGTCAAGTTCTTCACCAATGCCTGGTGCTGGCTGGACTTCCTCATTGTGGCTGTACGTGTCCTGCTTGCTACTTGCCACCCCTTTTAGCTGCGAAACAAACAGGGCTCTTTCTCCCCCCCACCCACCCCTGACTATATTTGCCTGGGAGCCAGGTTAGAGGGTGGGATACAACTGAGGTTTGGGTAAGGGTCCTTTCAGAGTACTCGGGGAAGTAGAGCACTAAGGTTTCTGCATTTGCCCCAAGAGTTAACCAACCAACTCTGTTCTGGTGGGTTTGGCTTAACAGATTCCCAAAGTAAGACCGGAAAGTGGAATTGTTCGGCTCAAAGCACCTTGTTCTAAAGCCAGAAGCCGAAAGTTTCTTGCCCCCAAACCAGCCAGGTGCCCTCTTCCTGCTGCCAGGAGGAGAGAGAGAGGTGATTGGATGGGTCTGTGTGAACTTTCCGGCCACATTCCCACGGACACCACCATCCAACTCAAGTCCTGATACCAGGCTCAGCTGACCAAGTCAGTGAACTGAGGAGAGTTGGGGGGCTTCTCATACCAAAATGCAGTTGAAAAGGCCTGACCCTTGTCCTTTTAAAGTCCCCCTCTTCCTGTCCATCGCGGTCTTCTACAAGGATGAGCAAACTTGAGCGAACCCTTTTCTTCCAGGTCCCAAGACCACCTCTGAGACTCCGTGCCCATGACCCCACGTTGTTTTTCAGGTCGGAAGCTGCGCCGTGTGTAACTGTTTGTCCCGCCAGCTCCTATTCCTGGTTGGCTTTGCTCACAGGGATGACTGGTCTCTCAGTCTGTGTAATAATAACTACAGCTTTTTTCTTTCAGCCACATCAGCATTTTAAAGAAAGGGTAAAAGGGACTTGCAGGACCAGGGCCAATGGAGAATTAACTTCTGCTGCCAGCTGAGCAGTGTCAAGGAAGTGGAGTGTTTGGAAGCTGGGTTGGTACATTCGGACTGTCTTGTAGACTTGGCTATAGTGTTCCTCTGTAATCTAGACAGATCAGATTAGAATGGAAGACAGAATGGAAGTACCCCTTTTTGGAAACAGGAGCCTGGTGCTTTAGAAATGCATTTTTTTCCCAAGACAGTGTTTACCACTTTGACGGTTAACGACTCCTTCCAAGAGCTATCACGGTCCTCCCCTTTGCCTTTCCTGTTTCAGAAAGCAGGTCTTGGGGAAATGCCCAGATGAGGTGGAGAGGTCCTTACAGTGAACCAGGTGTATGGCCCCAGAAGGTACTGACATGAGACCCTAGCCCAAAGTACTCCCTTAGCAATTTGGTGGACAGACCTCTGCCACAGAAGAAAAGCTTAACCTCTCACTCTTAAGGAGTAGGCTTGGGAAAGGGTCCAGAGAACGAGAGTAAGACGAGGCCGGCTCTCTGTAGAATCGTCTTCATTTCAGCCTCACTTCTCAGGACCACGTCTGGTATACCAATCAAGGCCTATACTTTCACCCGGACAGCAGCGGCACTCAGTCTTTGCCATCCATCTGGGTAAAAGTTCAAGTGTCTTTGGTACATGACAACATCCAGCAGATGTGGGTGTCGGGCCTTAAGCTAGCACACCATCTCCGCAAGACCCTCCCTCTTCCATTCCATCCACTGGTGACTTGGTGTCTGAATCTGGAACTCATCATCTTATTGGTTTTCCTGCTGGATTCTCATTCGTCTTGCCCCTTACTAGCTGTTGATGGTACTCCTTCGAGTCTTAGAGATAAAGCAGACAATTTCCCAGGTTAATTCTCAGTATGTGTAAGCCATCTGAGTTCCCAACCAGGGACCACATGGAATTTTGCTCGGGTCCTTGGCTGCAGTGAAAATTTTGGCCCATAAAGGCACTTTGTCATCTTTGCCGCCAGAAAACCCGCCCCCGTCATATCATAAAGTGAACCAGCTTATCAGTTCCAGGAGTGGGAAATCTCAGATACCACTCAGCTCGTCCTGAGTTCAGACTGAGGGAAATAGTTTCTCTCTGAAAATTATCACATCATTTTGAAAACATCAGCTAGTGTCTTTCCATTTACTCCCCACCCCCATTCCTGCAGCCATAGATACCTGAGTCTTTACTTCTCCTTAACTCATTTCATATTGTTCTAGGTCTGATTTCCCCCCTATAAAGCAGTGTCTTAAGCATCCAATGAAAGGTTAACATGGACACTCTGAGGATTATAAAAGAGCCCTGAACTGCTTATCTCTTTCTTACCCATGGAAGGGTCCTACCTTGGGAGATCTTGACCGGGTTGATCAATTGAGCAGAAGGTAACCACTCAGCACACCTTAGAGCCACTGGTCTTAGAGCAGCTTCTGAGATGGCCTGCACATCTCCTCCAGCCTTGTCCCCACTTAGGCCTTTTTGTTGCTAGAGAAACCACCCACCTTGAGGAGTGGAGTCTCCTCGCCTTATGAGCTTTATAACCACTCAGGGTCTACCGGCTTGATGTTTTGCCGCTTTTAACTGGCATAATTCCACAGGACGGCCCTGACTCAGGGGTCTTTTGAACCCAAGTATTTCTTTTTTTTTTCCAAGTATTTCTTTGGGACAGGATAGCTTACCTTCAGATGTACCTGTTCAGGTCTCACTAAGAACCTGGCAGTTTTAGAATATCTCTGGTTAGGAGTTGGCCGCATTTGGCAATAGTAGGCAAAATATACCTCCCTCCCTGTAGCTTCTTGCTGATAATGATGGTGTGGGAGAAAAGGGATATTTTGATGCTACTGTATTCTAGATGAGGTTCTGAAACCCTGTTTCAGGCCAAGATTGAATGCTGGGCCATCTGCCCTTCCAAGGGCAAGAGTCGACCAGAAAGGTAGAATCCAGCTCTGGATTTCCTAGGACTCCAGAGAAGATCCCTGCTCCGATGAGTTCTGAGTACAAGCAGAGGCAAAGGTCCGCACCCCTTTTTCCAGGGGAAGTCCTTGAGCCTGCCCATCCCAGCTCCCGCCAGATCAGGGACCCACCTCTCTGCCCCTGGCCAGTTCTGACACTTACTCATTCACATCTTCACTCAAAGTCGAAGTTTCCTACAGTTGAGAAATGCAAAGACTCAAGAAACTAAAGCCCCATGCGTGCAGTCAAAAGAGCCGCATATGAAACTGAATTGTGGGATATCCCCCCGCCCCCTTCTACATCTGTCTTAAAATAACATCCGTTTGGGCAGCTCAGCTCTGTGACGCCCATGTTCCAGTGGAGGGCCTTAAGAAATAACGGTGCGGACTTCTTAACCTACCCCAGGACTTGTTATGCAATATAGAGAAACACTGTGCTAAGACCGAAAGCCCCAACAATCTAGGACCTGATCCGCTAAAGGTCTCTGCAGGCCTGCTGTCCCCTAAGAAGTTGGCATCCCACAGGTCAGGCCTAAGCAGCCTTAGGAGTAGTTAGCATCTAGGGTTGAGGAACAATCCGGCCACGCCTGGTTACTGCTCCTGTAGCCCAAGGTGGGCTTGCCTCTGAAAGAGCAGGGAGATTTTAGTCTTCAACAGGCACAAGTCTAGACCAGGAGACCTGCGACGCCATCCCACCGTGGCAATGTATTCGATCGACGGTGGTCAGACATTGGCCATCGCCTCGGGGTGTTCTCATGTAACCTGAGTGGGGGAAGAAGGACTACTGCCAAGTCTGGGAGTCGGGTGGATCTTTGACCCTGACTCCCGGCTGCCAGGGTGACCCTGAACGCATCCTTGGGAGTGAATCTCAGTCTCCTCCTCAATGAAATGAAAAAAATCACCCAAGACTCTCGCTGTTATTCTAATGATGAGCGTAATCATTGACTATCGAGAATCAGACACCTGAGACCAGCTCACGTGGATCTGCCCTTCGTGGGGAGGAACAAGGGTGGTGGTGGTGGGTGGCGCCATGGTCCACAGTCATTTCCAACTCACAGCAGCCCTGGGTCCAACCGAAGGAAGGCAGCGCTGCCAGGCCTGGCCCCGACCCGGCCCGCGGTCCCAAGCTCACAGAGGGGTCATGGTTGGAACAAAACTATGGGGAGGGTTCTTTTCGTTAAAAGCAGAAGAGAGAGACTCCTGTGGGTGCACAGTTCTGTCAAGGACGTGCCTTACTGGGCCTTTCCTCCGTGGCAATTGCAAAGACGCCCGCGCTCCTGAGTGAACGGGTTCCGTTTGTGGATCCGATTCTCAAACAAAGGGTCCCTTGCCAACCAGGAATAAGGGCGCTGGCCCCGGTTGGATTGCCAGTGGCGAGTGAGCTGAGGAGGGGGCCGCTTGTATGGAGTGTGTGTATTTATCTGTATTCTTTTCCATAGGTACCATTAAGTTTGTCTGGCTTAATTTAATGGGAACTTCTGGGACCTGCAGAGACTGTAAAGGGCGAGGGTAAGGTTCTTGTCATCTGTTCAGGCTCCTCTCCTTCCACTGGGACTTCCTCACTGCCCCCTCTCCCTTTAACCTCTTCCCTTCTCCAACGTGTGTGTCTGTTCTACTGCCTCTGCTCAACTCTCTCTCCCCTCTGTGGTTTTTCTTCCACCTCTCAACCACCTTGCCTTCCAGGTCATTTGAGTCAAGTTGAAGTAGGCAGCTGGTGTCACCCTCTTCCTCTGCCTGGGGGGAGGGGCCCCGATCTGCCTGGTCCGAGTTAGGGGCCTCGTTCTAACACTCTGGAACCTCTTTTTTTCCTTTGTTGTTTTGTTTTCTCTTCTGTTTCCGTGTAGGTCTCTTTAGTCAGCCTTATAGCTAATGCCCTGGGCTACTCGGAACTAGGTGCCATAAAGTCCCTTAGGACCCTAAGAGCCTTGAGACCCTTAAGAGCCTTATCACGATTTGAAGGGATGAGGGTAAGAACCTAAGAGCAGCGGATCCTTCTGCATGCCAATGGAAGCGTCTCAGCATGCCAGAACTGATCACGTGGCAGAAAGACCATGCCAACACCCACCCACCCTGTGATGCAGCTGCTGATCGGGCACTCCACTCTCGCACCCTACTCCGTGCAGAGGGGGAGTTGCATTAAGCTGCCTCATCACGTTGAGATTGGCCCCACACCCAACCACATGCCATGGCAGAACATGTTCACATTGGCTACTGTCATTTGGCCTGGCTTACCGGTAGCACTTGGGGCGGCTTTCTGGGCTGTTGATACAATAGGGAGAATCACCAGGTGCAAAGAAGGGGAATTGTGACCCACGGGCCCACTGAAAAGCACAGGCTGCAGGCAAGAAGAGTGCTGTGTAGGGGCAGCAGCCAGGTGGGGACTGTGGCCTTGCTGTCACCGAGGAAGCGGCTAAGAAGGGACATGGAGACCGGACAGCAGGCCTGGGATTGGGGATGGAGCAGAATTTGGCACAACCCTGGGAGAAGAAATGCTTTTCTTTCTATTCTGATTCCTCTTATTGCACCTTGTTGTTCTCAGCCCAGTCCCGTAAGGACTGGCAGCCTCTGTCTGATAGCAAAGCTTTCCTCCTCGCCCCCAACCCCTGTGCCCTCGCTGTATGGTCCCTTAGCCTAACACTGTGAGAGCAGCACCACGGACAGTGCTTGATGATGCAACACCTGCTCCTGCTGACATTCCTTGACACATCCTGTTCCTGCCTCAGTGGTACCTCACCTGAACCCAAACGTTACCAGGTGCCATCACCCTTTGGGCTGAGAAACGAGGCTTCCTTTTTTGGTGCCTTTTGCCCGTCTCTTGGTTTAAATAAATTGTGTGTGCACGTGTGGGCCCGTATACAGGCACACACATACGTACACACACACAAATGATTTCCTAAAAATCAAGCTTTTGGTGGTAATAGTTGTCCTCTGGTAGCGAGAGAGGTTCTGTTATACCTAAGGAGACCAAGAAAACTCATTTTAATTCAGATGGTGACTACATGCAGGAGAGCCAACCAGAGGGTTTGTTACTCAACGCACGCCTCTCAGGATGTAGGGATAAAAATTGAACCGTGGGATGAGCCCTCGGGAAGAGAGCCTCCTGAAGAAGCTAGCAACTAGGACGGCGCTGCTCCCTCCACGTCTCATATCTGATCCCTGCCACTAGTGCAGGAAGCCACGCACGTTTAAGTGGCCCTTGGGAGCGGTGTCTTTATTGTTTCCGTCCACATGGACAAATCCATTCTGCAACCAGCTCGCGTGCGGTTCACTCGATGTAAGCTTTGCGCGGCCCACCCAGGACCATCTGTAGGAAGGCCAGTTCCACTTCACTAATAGAACGACCACCGTGGACTCTGGGTCTCCGTCCTGTGGACGGGAGAAGTGGCCGAGCGTGTGCACCAAGACCATCCTTAAGTTGCTAAGTGGAGGGCGGGAAGGAGTGCGCCTGCTGCAGAGTCCGACTGTTGTCATTGAGTTTTCCAGAAAGACTAGTAAGTTTTTAAACAGATGGTACTTAATCGGTGATAGAGTTGACCATCCATTCTGGCTACTGGAACACCAAAGTCAAGATTCCATTAAAAGTCCATGGAAGACCGGGTACCAGAGACCTGTCTGGGCTCAGCAGACTGATCCTCCAGTGCTCCTGAATCTCCTAGTAAGGCCTGAAGAAACCCAAGACAGAAAGGCCCCGCTGACACACTTGCTGCGGACGTTCTCCATCTGCATGCTTCTTACTCTCCGGGCTCAGCCCGGGCCAGTATGCCCATTGAGGAAATCATTGGGATAATCTGAGTACGGAAGTCCTTTCTGGGATAAGCCGCACCTCGCCCTTCCTTTGACGCCTCCTCCTTCCCCCACCTTCACTGTCATCTGTCTTCACCAGCGGAGCCCTGGTGGCAGCGTGGTTAGGCATTGGGCTGCTAACACAAGGTCAGCAGTTCAAAACCGCCAGTGGCTCCGTAGGATAAAGACAGGGCCTTTCTACTCCTGTTAAGAGTTACAGTCATAGCACCTCCAAAGGGCAGTTCTACCCTGTCCTACAGGGTCGCTGTGAGCCGGCATCGACGATGGCAGTGGATGGGGTTTTGGTCATCCAGAGGTCTGGAATAGATGAGCAGAGCCGTTGAGAGCTGTATTTGAGAGTCACTAGAAAGTGAAGTACCGACAATAACATATTTTGCAATGAGATGCTAGGGACAAGAATAAGTTTGAACCCAGAGCTGGAATTGAGAATGTTGTCACCTGGTGAGCGTAGGTCAGGGAGAGCCGGGCGCACTTCTTGGTGGAGGCCAGTGTCCTGCCGTTTCCCAGCCCTTCTGTGAAAAAATACCTACAAGAAGAAATTTAAAAGATTTCACCACGTTTATAGTAAGTTCCCCAATAGTAAGCAGAACTGGTACATACATTTGACTTAAATGTTATTTTTCTTGTGAGGAGGAAGGTGTATGTTTTTCATTCTCTAGTGTGGGTTTTTCTGTATTGCTAGCCTGAGAGAGAAATCTTAAAATAAGAAATCTTTGATAATTGAAGGCCATCAATGCAGTTGGGCCTGTCACTGTGCTGCCCAGTAATCAGTTCAGCCCTTCCCTTGAGAAAGAACATGTGGCCCGAGCCTCTCATCCCTCTAATCGGAGACCAGACACTGAGACACCTCATGCTGTCGGCAAAGGAATACTGACTCGTTCTTTGCCTTTCCCTCCCCCATCAGACTCATTTAACACATGTGCTGTGCTCTTAAATTCTTGAGGATCCATCACAGTAATGCTATGAGACATGCATGCCTGTTTGTTGATTGTCAGTACCCAGTTGTCCAGGAAAGCCTTGTTCCCTCTGCCAGACATGGAAAGCTAAGCGACAGATCTTCTGGTGCCGGGGAGGCACAGTACGGACAGCAGTGCTGGAGGGCGCGTGCCATTGGAATGTTCTCACCAATTAGACGTATAGCACTGGCTGAGTCAAACTTCCGTGTGGGGAAAAAGATAGCTTTGTACAAATAGAAAGCACCTAGCTTTGAGTAATGGTATCAGTATCTACTTCTCAACAAGCGTCATGAGGTTCATCAAAATTAGAATCAATGCGGGAAAAACTGGAGAGTTGTCACGGAACGGAAGAGAAGGCCCGATTTATTGACCATCTCTCCAGGAAAATGTGAATTACCATTTTAATATATCTATAGTACATGAATTTGAAATATAAAGACCAGGTTTCTAATTTCCCTTTGCTTGTGGAGGAGAATCCCACAAAAATCACGAGATAAAGAGTACAGTTGAATGGGAGCTAATATACTGTAGCTTATCAGTTCATTTTCATAATGAGGAGGAATTATTAGTAAACTTTACCCACTCTTTCAGCTGTTTTAGTCAGAAAACTAACTAGGGTAAGATTTTCCCCCCCCTGGTTATGATTTACAGATGAAAGTTCACTGGCTTTTATAAGGTTTTTATGTTACTCAGAGCAAGGCTCAATAAATATCTTTGCATATCAAGGCTTTTGATCAGTGTAAAAGCGCAAAGGTATCACTAAGTCCATTAACTAAATATTCTTCCCTGTTGTCAGCATCGCCCCAGAGAAGACAGGCGAGAGTAGGTCAGCACAGAAGTCCAGGATTATCCTCTGGAAGAGGGAGAGTCCACACTGAGATGCACAGTCGGGGCCTACTGTCTATGGCAAGGTTGCCAGGGTCCGAGCAGTGGTTCTCAATCTCCCTCATGCCGCGACCCTTTAATACAGTTCCTCATGTTGTGATGACGCCCCCCACCGAACATAAAATTATTTTCGTTGCTACCTCATAACTGTAATTTTGCTACTGTTATGAATCGGGTGACCCCTGTGAAAGGGTCGTTCGACCCCCAAAGGGGTCGCAAAAGCTCCACAGGTTGAGAACCGCTGGTCTAATAGAAGGGTGTGATCTCTCCCTCGCTCCGCAGCAAGATGCCGTCCCATTAACTTGAGCCTTTGAACCTTTGCATTGTCTCTTCTCCGATTTGGGGAACGCTTATCCCATTGGTAGACCACCCTCCCTTCTCCCGTTCTTTTTGCACACTCCGTTCTTCTTGGTGTTGCCACCAAAGAGTGGACAAACTACAGGAGGCGGAAGTAAGACCTAAATTGATCGGCTCGCCTAGCGAATCTGGTCGTGAACCAATAAATATAGCTGTCATTGTCCAGAACCTCCTGGAGGATTTTTCCAGACTCCAGATGTTCTGATTTTCCTTGCATTGGCCGTTGAAATAGAGCCATTTTCTCCTAATGACAGAGCTGTTAGATCCAGAGATTTCTTGGTCTAAGTATTGAGAAATAACTGCCTCTCAATCTAAAGGCTTTCACATATGAATTGGAGAAACACAAAAATCAATATTTACATCTAAAAGGAAGAGCAAATTCTCAGCAGAATATCATTGCCTCACCATCCTTTGCTTTTTCTTTTTAAATAGGGCAGAGCAGATCGCTCGTCTCAGCCATGTGTTCTGATGAGTGACATTGCAATCAGAGGCACAATCAGAAGATTAAAAAAACATGGAAACCTGAGTAGGGCCCGGAATAGACCCTGTAAGGACTGCTTTAGGAGAAGGCCAACTTCCTTTTTGCCCGGTGCCTTTATTCTTACTCCAGAGCCTTCCGCAGACACTTGAGAAGAGAGGCAATGTTCTTCCCAGGCTAGGGTACCCTTTGTGTGCCTTGGCCCTCCTGCTGAGGGCAGCAGCAAGAGAGAATGGATCAGAAAGGAGGATCTTCACTTTCGGCTTTGTTTTCTCCCCCCACCACCTGCAGTGTGAGTTTTGTAAGCACTTTAAACTCAGCTAGTTGAAAGCTACCACAGTGGAAGTGTTGGCCAGCTGTGCTCACCTGTAGTGTGGAGCAAAACCAAAGTTAACCGAGAAAACTTAGATTTCGAAGAGATTTTTTTCCTTTGAGCTTACTACTCAGTGGTTTTTGATCGTCAGCCAGTTCTTGGGTTCCAAACGCATTGATCTTAGCCATTCCAAATTCTCCCCCCAAACTTACTCCTATTTCAAAGACATTGTGAAGAATCAAGTCAAGCCCTGGACTGAGCGGACATGTCCGCATGAGCCACCCTCAATGCCTAGTTGCTGGTCTGCCAGCAGGGGGCGACTCACAGGCCTAGCGCATACAAAACCAGGGACCAGGTGGGGGCGGGGGGAGGTGGGAGGCAGAAGAAGCAGCTACCTCCGTGAAAAGGCACATCTGTTCAGATTTTTATTTTATACTGTTTGGTAGAGGGAATATAGCTTTTCCTTTCTTTTTTTTTCTTGAGCCTGCAAATTATGCATGCTCAGCTACTGCCTGAAATAAAATAACTGGCCTTGCATAGTCATAAAGCGGATTTTATATACTGGTGAGTGATTTCACTGCTAACCCCAAAGGGTAGTTCTCTGTGGATTTGAACAACCACACCTTGTTTTGCAGAGGGGGAATGTCTGTTGAAATTACTCGGATTTTCCCATGGGACCAGATTGTAGGAGTCCAGGGACAGGGAGACTGGGCTAAGAAAGATTTTTTTCTGCCCCAGCTTGCTTCCTAGAGTGAAGACCTAGGTCTACAGGGGCAGAGGAATTGGTATTACCGGAAATAAAAATGTGATTTGTTAAAATCACCCCCAAAACATAGTGCATCCACTAAACATCTCAGCCCTCCCTGTGGATCTGCCCAGTTACTCCGATTCCTAAGATGGGTAAGGGGTCATACTCAGAGCAAGCCACACAGTGTCATTCCCCTCCTGGAAATCAAAAGGCTGTGCCTGCCCCCACTTCCTCTCAACACTCAGCAACCTCCCCCTTCCAATGCAGGTGGTGGTGAATGCCTTGGTGGGTGCCATCCCCTCCATCATGAATGTGCTGCTGGTGTGTCTCATCTTCTGGCTGATTTTCAGCATCATGGGAGTTAACCTGTTCGCGGGAAAGTACCACTACTGCTTCAATGAGACCTCTGAGAGTCGGTTTGAAATTGAAATCGTCAACAATCTCACTGAGTGTGAAAGGCTCATGGAGGGGAACAACACAGAAATCCGATGGAAGAACGTGAAGATCAACTTTGACAATGTTGGGGCAGGTTATCTGGCCCTCCTGCAGGTGGTGAGTATGGTGGTTTTTCAGCCCTCAGAGCTCAGACAACTGACAAAAGCCATTCCCACTTAGCTCCTTCTCAACCTTACTGGAGGACTAAGTTATTCTGATTGGGTTAGACTCAAGACAGCAATGTCATTTCCCGAGCCAAGTCCAGGGCAACATCTTTCCTGACTACTTGAGACGTCTGCAAGCTCTCAGTAAAGGGAGACTTGTTGAGAATCTACACAGCAAAACGCATACCCATTCAACAGTTTCCATGGGCACAAGTCCATGGCACTGGCGACATTCCTCAAGTGCAGCCGTTCTCACCACCTCTCTCTGAAGGATTCCTCCCCCTTTAGTGTAACTCACTGCTCCCTAAGGTTTCCATCTAATCATTCAGGTTGATCCTTTCCCACTGAGGGCCTATAGATAGTTCTAAAAACAGCAGGGAGCCTTTCATCGTGTTCCGAATCAGAGCCTTGTCAGCAACAAATAAAGATCTCTGTCGTGGAATAAAGGATCCCAGGTAGTCTAGTGGTTAAATCTTGGCCTGTCATCCACATGGTTAACGGTTCAAAACTACCAGACCAGGGCTTTCTACTCCTGTAAAGTCTCAGAAACCCACAGGGAGTCGCTCTGAATCGGCATCGACTCCATGGCATGAGTGTGGTTTTGGGTTTGTAGCATTAGAAAACTCGCAGAGAGAACACCTCTCCCTAGGTCAAAGCATTTGGTTAAAGTGAATGAAGAAAAGCTGTGCATAGAGACAATAAAAGTGATGGCCGTGTTGATGAGAGCAAAGCAGTTGTACATCTGAGCTGTGCTGGAGCTGGCGATAGGAAGAAGCACGTGGCAGTTTACTTGTGGAAAATGCGGTCACTGCAAACCTCATGAGTAGCCGCAGATCCTGGTCTGAGATCATAGTGGAAGATGAAAGCCTCAGGTTGCAAAGCAGTCAAAACACAATTGAGGAAGAGCTGCCCCTTCAAAGTAGAGTTGACCTTAAGGATGTGCGTGGAGCAAAGCTTCTGGAACCTTCATTTGCTGATGTGGTGTGACTCAATGAGAAGAAGCCATTGTAAAATCCATTCCTAAAGAGGACGTGAACGTACAGAGGTAGAACTGAGGGAAATTGGAAGCTGTCAACAATGGTGAGCCGAATTGGGCTGGTTATTTTGGATCAGACACTCACATAGTCTGCCAAGCCAGAAATGACAAAGAATAAAGGCATCACATGCATCGTCAAAAAAGAAATATTTCAAGATCTGTCTGAGGTTCAGCTCTTGCACTTGCAAGGAAGAAGACCAGTTAATACAACTATTACTCAAAGTTACACACCAATCACAAATGCCAAAGAGGAAGAAATGGAAGGTTTTCATCAATGACTGGAAGTCTGAAATCGGTCAAACATACAGTTGGTCCGAGAGAACTTGGTAATTACTGATGATTGGGATGGAAAAACTGGGAACAAAGAAGAAGGCTCAGTGCTTAGAAAATAGCGCCTCGGTGATAGAAACTGTTCCAGAGATTGCGGGAAAGAATTTTGCAAGACCGGCAACTTAATTCATTGCAAATACCGTATTTCAACAACATAAGCAGCAGCTATATACATGGATCTTACCAGATGGCACACACAGAAATCAAATCAATGACATCTGTTAAAAAAAAAGACTATGGAGACGTGTATCAGTCGGAACAAGGCCAGAGACCAACTACAGAACAAACGATCAATTATTCCTGTGCAAGTTGAAGCTGAAATGAGAAAAGTACATCCCCTCACAGAAGGGTCTCGGGGTGGAGACGAGCCAGTCAGGATGCGATGTAGCAATGATGAAACATACAACTTTCCTCTAGTTCTAAATGCTTCCTCCTCCCCCACGATCACGATCCCAATTCTACCTCACAAATCTGGCTAGACCAGAGGATGTACACTGGTACAGATGGGAACTGGAAGAACAGGGAATCCAGGACAGATGATCCCTTCAGGACCAGTGGTGAGAGTGGCGAAACTGGGAGAGGAGAGGGAGGGTGGGTTGGAAAGGGGGAACCGATTACAAGGATCTACATGTGACCTCCTCCCTGGGGGATGGACAACAGAAAAGAGTAGGTGAGGGGAGACGTCGGACAGGGCAGGATATGACAAAATAATAATTTATAAATTATCAAGGGTTCATGAAGGGGGAAGCGGGGAGGGAGGGATAAAAATGAAGAGCTGATGCCAGGGGCTTAAGTGGAGAGCAAATGTTTTGAGAATGATGAGGGCAATGAATGTACAAATATGCTTCACACAATTGATGTGTAATAAGAGTTGTATGAGCCCGTAATAAAACAATTTAAAAGAAACCAGAGAAAATTAAAACCAGTCTGCAAGAGCCAAAGTACAACCTTCAATATATCCCGCCTAAAGTCAGAGACCATCGCAAGAGCAGATCTGCCACACCGAACACTAATGGCAAGACTAGACACCAAAGACAAGAAAGAAGAGACCAAAATGGATATCAGAAGAGAGCTTGAAACTTGTTCTAGAACATAGAGTAGCTAACGTGAATGGAAGAAATGATGGAGTAGAAAAGAACAGAAGATTTCAAAGGGCAGCTTTAGAGGACAAACTACTGTAGTGTGTTGTGCACAGACCTGGAGTGAGAACGGCAGAAGGGAAGAATAAACTTGATATTCCTCAAGCTGAAAGAAAAGGAAAACACCCAAGCTTCAAGTTGCAATATTGAAGGATTCTATGGGCCAAATATTAAACTACACAGAAAGCATTGAGACACAACAGAAGTATCCACAGAACCACAGTGCTAAAAATGGCTAAAAATGACCTATGTTGAGCCATTTCAGAGGGTAGCGTAAAAGCACAAACCGATAGTACTACAGGAAGATGCCCAAGCTACACGGAAGGCATTTATGAAAAACAAGTCTCCAGGAATGGACAGATTACCAGTTGAGATGTTTCAACAAATGGCAGGCAATGCTAAGAGTGCTCATTCATTTTTGTCAAGAAATTACAGTTTTCATGGCCAACTGACTGGAAGAGCTTTATATGTGTTCTCATTCCCCCCCGCCAAAAAAGGTGATCTAACGCAATATGGAAATTATTGAACAATATCAGTGTCAGACACAAGCAAACGTTTGCCAATGATAACTCAAAAATGGTTGCAGCAGTTAATGAACAGGGGACTTCCAGAAATTCAAGCTAGATGTGGAAGACGACATGGGATGAAGGAGGATATCATTGTTGTTAAGATCTTACATGAAGGCAGAGAATACCAGAAAAATATTTATCTGTGTTCTATTGACTATGCAAAGACGTTCGACTGTGTAGGTCATACTGCATTCTAGATAACATTGAAGAGTGGGAATTCCAAAACATTGTGTTCATGCAGAGCCTGTGCATAGACCAAGAGGCAGTCATTTGACCAGAACAGGGGTGTGCTCTATGTCTTGAAATCAGGAAAGGTATGTGATCACCACACTTGGTCTGTACACGGAGAAAATCATTCAAAGAGCTGGACTGGAGAGGAAGAATGAGGCATCACAATGGAGAAGACTTCTCAACAGCCTGTGATATGCAAATGGCACACCCTCGCTGGCTGAAAACTGAAGAGCACAAATTGGTGAAGATCAAAGACGACAGCTTTTAGCATGAATTATACCTCAGCGTGAAGTAAACAACCCTCATTAACATAAGCTGCGTAGTGGTTCCCCGAAAAGATTGAAGTTGTCAAGAATCAATGCTCATGGAAGCAGCAGTGCAGCAATCAAACACGTTGCACTGTGCGTACCTGCTACAAAAGCCTTGAACGTGTTCAGAGGTGTCACTTTGAGGACCGTCACAGGCGTATGCATGTGAAACAAAAGCTGGAAAGTGAGTAAGAAAGACCAAAGAGGAGTTGACACCATTGGATTGTGGTGTCAGGGAAGACTACTCAGTAAGCCATGGGCGGCCAGAGGAACTAATAAATCTGCTTTGGGAGCAATTCAGCCTGACTGCTCCTTGGAAGCAACGATGGTGAGACTTGGTCTCACAGACTTTGAACATGTTATCACGAGGGATTAGTCCTTGGAGAAGGGGATGGTGCTTGGGAAAGTGGAGGGACAGTGAGAAAGAAGATGACCTTCAATGAGAGGGATCGACTCCGTAGCTGCAACAGCGGACTCAAACACAGGACGATGTTGAGGACGGTGCAGGACTGGGCAGTGTTTCATTCTGTTGGACACGGGCCGACTGTCAGCCACTACCAACTTGACACCGCCTCACTACAACCACAAAGTTAATTAAAGAGAAGGATTTAGCAGTGTTAGGGTGCCACCGGATGAAGATCCCAAATTAATGTGTCAAGTAAGACATGATTCAGTTGCATAGGTAGGTAATTATCTTTTGCCTGACTTCTTTCTGGCATACATAGTTTTTCTTGACATCATATATCATATAAGACTGTTTGATGCAATGCAAGCTCATAGGCTTTGGAATCGGATAGATGTAAGATTGAGCCAAATTCCAGTATTCATTAGCTGTGTAACTTTGGACAGATTACTCATACTTCTATTAAATGTTGATAATAGAACTTCCACTGCACAGTATCTTGAGAGAATTCATCTTTTTATTAAAAGTTCTTGGTACAATACCTAGCTCATAACCAGAGCCGTTGTCATCAGGTTGGTCCTGGCTCATGGCCGCCCCGGTGTGTGTTAGAATAGAATGTGCTCGGATTCTGGATTTTCGGAAGGTGATTACCAGACTCCCTTTCAGACTTTGAACCTCCACCCACTCAGCTCCACACCTGGAGCCTAGCATATCAATACCCTATCAATGGTGGCAATGTTGGGTAAGTGTCAGACTACCAACGCAAAGGTCAGCAGTTCAAACCCACCATAAAGATTTACAGCCTGGAAAACCCTAAATATGGCCCCTATGAGTTGGAACCAACTTGATGGCAATGTGGTTTTGGTTATTATTTGTCTTTATCCTACAGGTGTTAGGAGAATTCAGTCAAAGTTACAGGTGAGGCGTTCAGCCTAACCTCACACTTGCTTAGCATTCACTCTTGGTACTAGAAGTCCAAGTTAATGGAGTGGTCAGTGGGCTAGCTCACCCCACAGGTCTGTGTTGTTCCCAACCCAGTACAAGAAATTGGACTCACAAATTGAATGTGAACCAGAATAGCTCCAATGCATACCCAGCCAGTCAAATGCAGTCAGAGTCCCCATCAAGTGCCAGGCATGATCGTAGCGTTGCTAAGGGCACCGGATGAATAATGAACTGTCTGTGCCCTCAACAAGCTTAGAATCTGGTTGAATGCATAAAATTTAAGTAAAACAGAATATTCTATTGCTTATGCATATTTGTGTTCAAAACTAAGGTATTCTAGACTGAAGGAATATAGATTCACAAGGGCCTGTCAAGAAGGAAGTCAGTGTTGCCACCACCATAGACCGTGTATGAGTAGATAGTAGTAGGGAAATTTTCTGATCTTGTTTTTTTCTGTTTGATTAGTGTACTGTGGCATACTTAGGCCCCCCACCCCCACCCCCCAAGCTCTTACTTAACACTTTTTTTTTTAATCACCCTTCAATGGAGGCCTGCATTCTAAGCACCCTTGGTAGATTCCTATCCTTCACTCATAATAGACATGCGTTTTCCTAGCTCTAGGCAACCTTATTAAGGCCATTGTTAAGGCCTTTTGTAAACTGTTGCTCCAGTTACTGAGTTGTCAACATGTTTCTTTGCCAGATTTTGGAGTTATTCTTAGGGACGTAGACAATGCCCCCTTAGGAACCTGTATTAGCAAATTGAAGAGTTGATATCCAAGTTTGAAGCTATACACACTCCCTGCCCCTGTGTTTCCACTGATCCAAAGCCTGGCCTTCTGGAACCCTGCCTAGATCCCATCCGCCTAACAGGCACAGTCTAATGATGCACTCTGTTTGCCAGGCAACCTTCAAAGGCTGGATGGACATCATGTATGCCGCGGTTGATTCTCGAAAGGTAAGGATGTGCAGGGAGAAACCACCCTTAGCAGGTCCAGAACCAAGTAACGTGGTGAATTTCACCCAGCAAGAGGGAGGGAGGAATGGAGAAGTTGTCGTTTCTGATTGGAACTCTGTTGCTTCCTTTATTGATTTCAGATGATTTTCCTCCTCCCAGCAAGTCATCATTCTAATCATCATTGGCTCTAGATGATTAGACTGTTGATTGCCCCTGGTCCCAGGGCAGCCATCTACTCTTTAGTCCTGTTGTGAAATAAAAATGGAGTTCCTCGCAGATAGCCCTCCCCTTCCCCCTTACCTTATGATTTGCATATTTCCCACCGAAGATGGTGTCCCCCGCTTCAGGGCAGGAAGACCACCAGAGAGTATCTCAGGCTCCCTTAGCCAGTGGTCAGTGTTGGCTGTTGGGCTTTGGCATGTGGGAGTGACCCAGACGATCCCCAAGCTGGGAGGTGACTCTCCTTTCTCTCCTGCCTTGGACAGGTTGACGAGCAGCCTAAGTATGAGGACAACATCTACATGTACATCTACTTTGTCATCTTCATTATCTTCGGCTCCTTCTTCACGCTGAACCTGTTCATTGGTGTCATCATTGATAACTTCAATCAACAAAAGAAAAAGATAGGTCTCCTCCCCTCAGTGCCGGTGGTCGGAGGCCAACCCAAATGAAAGACCCTTCCGTCCCTACCAAGAGAGAGAGAGAGAGAGAGAAGGCGCCTCTCTATCTCTGAGACCCATGTTGTCACCTCGCTGTGGCGTGAGCTATACCATGCATTAGCCCCAGCCCCTCTTTCTGTAGGGGATGGTATCTTACAGCATGCTATTTGTTACCTGTCCTCCCGAGGCCGTTACTGGTTTGAGCGTCCCACCTGAAGGAGGTTGGGCCAGAGGGTCCCTCTAGTGTCAGGTGCAAAGAAGGAAGCGGAAGGTTAATGACAGGAGTGAGCGGCAGAAAGGGTCTAAACAGACTGCCTGTGTGCAACCCTGGGCATCACTGTCAAATTGGGACTTTCCAGGTCAGCTTGGAAAGCTCATTTTCCGGATGATGAGCACTTTTCCACAGTAATCAAACTGCAAAGATGACGCTTGTCATTCGTTTCCATGTCTGTCCCAACAAATTGCTTTCTGGGACCACTGTTTCTTGATTTTTTTAAATATCCTCTGAGATAAATGGACCGTTAGATAGGACATAAAAGATTGTTAATGTTTCTGGAATTTCATCAGGCAGACAGACCCCAAAAATGTTTGTGTGTGTGAAATGGGACTGTTGCTCAAGTTCACCCATCCCTGACCAAAACCAGTGATCACACTCCTCACCGTTGAGTCGAGGCCAGGGCATCATAGGAACACGATAGGACAAAGGCAAACAGCCCCAAATAGCCCCTTGGGTTGTAGAGCTTTCCAGAAGCAGACCCCACGGCTTTCTACTATGGAGTGGCTGGTAGATTGAAACCACCAACCTGCTGGTCAGCAGCCAAGCACTTACCGGCTGTGCTGAACAGAAGTCCTTGCCCTTCCCTGGGGGCTCTGTAATTGGGTGGTCCACCTTCTTTCCACCGAGAAAAGGCCCGTCTCAGAAATCCCAACCTGAGGACACAGCCAGGGTTGGCCTTGAATTAGAATAGACGCCCCAGGTCTACCTCACTTTGGGACAACACCAGTGGGTGGAAGTGACCTGTGAGAGGGGAAAGGAGAGCGCTCCCTCGGGTCTCAGGGCGGACCCTGACGTGAGAGCCCGTTGTGATTCCCCGTTCTCCTTTCTCTCCTTTACTTTGGAGGTCAAGACATCTTCATGACCGAAGAACAGAAGAAGTACTACAACGCCATGAAAAAGCTGGGCTCCAAGAAACCTCAGAAACCCATTCCCCGCCCCCTGGTGCGTGTGCTGTGCAGCCTGAGGGCATAGCGAGAACTCAGATTGGGGTGGGGGCTACTGAAAGAGAAGGACAAGGGGCTGGTTTGTCTAGGGCCCGCCAACCCTCTTCCAGCCGCCCCATCCGAAATAGCTGAGTCAGGTGGCAGAAGAGAGGGAGGACTTTGTCGTTAGCCCTAGACCTTTCCCGTGAGCCGTCCTTGGGGAGCAGCTGAGAATTGGCATATGACTCACATTGACTCTGGCCCTGGTCGAGAGATGTTTCCAGAGTAGACACAGGGAGGGGTGTAAGAGTTAAGGACAAGAGAGGTAGCGCCTATTAAATACATAGTCCTGCAACGACGGCGATCTGTGAGAAGAAGGACAGACGGCTAGACATGCCGACTGAGTATGGGAGGGAGAGTGGAGGGTACCCACAAATACATGTAGACTGAGTGGGTGGGGAGGGGACCAGGAGTGTACAGGCTTCACAGGTTATTTGTGCATGACTACTTACCTCTGCTGCAGCTTACATCCCTGCATGTGGTGGAGCACACGGGCAGTTTTTAAAACTTCTTGGATGTGCCAAACACCTTGAGGGAATGAGCCTCTGGGCCTGGGGGCTCAGGACCATGGATGGTCTCAAGAGACCCCGAAGTCTGTAAGCATAGCGTAGTCTACAAAGACAATGTGCTACCTCCTGCAGTGAGTAGCAACAGGACGGTGGGGCGTCTTAAAAGTTTGTGATCACCCAGCCAAGGTGCAACTATTGGTCTCTCCTTGTCTGGAGGAAGGAAGTGCAGTGAAAACCAAATCCACGTGGAAACAATTCGGCCAATGAACTAGACCACGCAAGCATCGGTCTCTGGCCCTGCAAGCCGAAGACCTGAATGGCACCCAGCTGCTCTGAAAGGCAACACGTCAGGTCTTGGGTAGAGTGGGAGGACAGCGTGGACCAGAACTCGAATGCGTGAACGAGACCAGACCCACTGCTCAGCTAGAAACTAGTGGGAGCCTGAGACTAGGACTCTTGGTCACCCTCCGCTGCAGAACTGAACTCGCCCTTCTGGGTCAGTTTCCAACCAGGCAATAGGCAGGTCTACAGAGGGAACAGTAACACTATTTTGGTGTGAGCATCTTAGAATAATTGGCCGTTTGGGACGAAGGTGGGGGGGTCGGGGTATCAAGAAAGAAGGGAGAATGACAATCTCTCAGAGGCACCAGGGTCCTGGGCAAGGTAAGAGGGGGTGGGGGGGTGGGGGGGGCCAGCATTGACACAGGGACAGAGTTCCGCAGGGTTAGGAAAGAAAGAGGGAAGCAGAAACCAAAAGGGGGTCATGAGATAGGTGATGTTAAATTGAGGGATTTACAATGATAAGCTGAAACAATGTGTTTGAGTCACTGAATGCATTGCATACTGTTGATCTGCTCTGTAAACCTTCGCCCAGCTCAACCACACAAGGTTAAAAAATGTATGTCAAAAATGCACACAATCCAAACTCACTCCCTTCTAGTCGATTCTGACTCACAGGATCCTTTAGGGTAGTCTAGAATAGACCCCTGGGTCTACCCTGAAGCTGTGCATCTGTAGGGAACAGAAAGCCTCGTCTTCCTCCAGTGGGTTCACAGTGCTAATGCCCCAGTGCATCCCACACCACGCCACCAGGCTCCCCGGGCATTTTGTTTAATTAACAAAGGGAAGTGAGAACTTGCTGGTTTCTCTCGTACGTGCATGAGATAGGATTCAGTCCTCTCATCTTCTCCAGCCAACAGGCACGTCTTTACGGAGGGGCCAGGAACGTACCAATGTCTCTGGCTGCCTGTGGAGAGGAAGGGAGACACGGCAGAGTCTGGCCCCAGTGGGCCTCTCAGACTGCCTCCAGTGGAACAGCGCTGGCCGCCTTGCCCTGTTCTTGGGGGTTGGATCCCTTTGTTCCGACGAGGAGGGCTGTGCTCCTGAATTTCTCCATCTGGCTGGGTGGAAGTCTTCGCTAACTCATCCTGCACCCCACTTAGTTCACGCCCACCTGCCCAACTTCTGAGGAATAGAAACCCCTAGAGCTCTGAACCCCGCTGACAGCCTGAGTTAAAATAACCTTGAAAACAAGCCTACATGCTTTATTTCTAAAGTGAGGGAATCTTATAGAAAAAAGACTGTTTGCTTTATGGTAGAAATTTCAATTTTGTGACAATTACTTGAGACTAAGTGGAATCGAAGAGAATATTTATAAATTTCTGTTTAGTGTTTTGCCGGTAAGAACCTAAAAGAGAAAAGTTTTACTGAGACAAGAAACACGAGTAAAGACAAATCAAGAGCATTTTTGAAAGTGCGAGAAGGTCAATGTAGCTTTGTGGGCCACATGGAACCTCTGCTAGGATCCATTTGTTTCTTTTACTTATATATTCTTTTTCAGCAAATAGTCATAGATGTCCTGTTCTGTATCAGGTACTAGGCATAAAGTGATGAGTAAAATGTATGTGCTTCTGTGGTGCACGGGAGAGCCCTAGAGATCCTCTCGGGTGAGTGAAGCATTGAACTGCTAATGGAAAAGCTGCTGGGTCAGTCCTAGCTCCTGCCGCATGGAAGAAGGATGCGTCTGTCTGTTCCCCCAAATATTGAGAGCCTCAGGAGCCCAATGAAGGGCTGCTAGGAGTCACAATTGACTCACTGGGAGTGAGTTTGGCTGTTGTTATTGTGTAGTGTACAGTGCAGAGAGGGAGGCGGATCATAAATAAGCGAATAGCTATTGTCAGATGAGAAATATTGTGGGGAACAAAGCTAATGGGAGGCCCCTAACCGAATAGGGAAATGAGTAGATTCCATGGAACAGTCAGGAAAAACCTCCCTAAGGAGTGCCTGTTTGAGAAGATGAGAATGAGCAAAGAGCTGGGGAAAGAGGTCTGACAAAGCCAGCCTGACTCCTCAGGCAGGGAGGTTGGTGCGGCCAGGTGCTGAGCGAGAGGCAGAGACAGGAGTTGAGCAGAATGAAGGGTGTTTATAATATTTTTTTAATAAATCATTTTATTGGGGGTTCTTACAGCTCTTTAAGCAATCCATACATCTATGTGTCAAGCACATTTGTACATACGTTGCCACCATCGTTTCCAAAATATTTTCTTTCTACTTGATGCCTTGGTATCAGCTCTTTTTCCCCCTCCCTCCCCCAC